AGATCAGACCAGACTTGAATAGTTATAAAAATACAAAGAAACTAGATCACACCACTTTAGAACAGACCAGACCAGCAAATTACAATCCAAGTAAAAACATCCTAACACCATAAGTTTACATTTTTGAAGAAATAATATGTAAACATGGTGCTAAAAAACTTTTTAGGTAAAAATTGGGGTATTTAAATTACATATGCAAGTTTGAGATATTTACCTCACCCCCAAAAGTTTGGGGTATTTGAATAATTTTTTCCTAATATCACTGTTTACTAGAATTCTAAATAGAAATGTGTTTCGTTTGCAAATAGCTGGTATTGCTCATGTAAGTTGCAGCTCTCTGATTTCAATTACTCCGTATTGGAACCACCTTTTCAATGTTGTGTTTTTAGAAAGAAGATGGGCTACACCACAATGGAGCATCTGAACTGTTCTAAAACTAGAAGCCATTCTAACAAGAAACTGTAAAAAATAGTTCCAAAAAGAAAATAATCACAAGTTGACAACAAAGAACAAAAACTCAAAAACAGAAAAAAAATTCTAACCACAATTGTATGTTCCCATATCTGCTACTCATTTTTTCTATATATAAAAAGTTCAAACAAAACCTTCCGATCAAAGACATAGTAATCCTCTCCCTTCGTGGGTCTACCCGGTTTTCAATGTCATATGCTCCGTGCTTTTATTCAAATCATCTTTACAGAATTCATCTACAGTGAAGTGAAGGTAGATGCAACGGTCGTTCTTTTAGTCTTAGAAATCATTTTTATTATTTTTTTGTTTATAAAAAATTCTTAAATTATGTTTATAATTAATTTCAATATGTGAATCTGATGTATTATTATATTTTTGAAATGTGCAACATTTTAAAATGAGCATAAAGCAGTACCAAATGAGCATACATAATTTACAAAATGAGTATGAAAAAAATTCAAAAGCTCATTTGTGTATGCTCATTGATTTTGGGCATTAAATTTGAATCCGTATGAATCTAATATATATATTTGATGTAATATTATACTTCTGAAATATGCATGAATATGACATTTTAAAATGAGTTTACACCACTACAAAAAAACATAGATTTCCCGACGGATATTTAGCAACGGTTGGTACCGTTCGTAAGTAACCACGGAATTGCCGACGGAATATTGACGGAGCCGCTGCAAAGCCGTCCCTAAGTCGTTGGTAATTTGCGACGAACGTGCCGACGCTTATTTCTAGCGCTGAATTTTGTACGATTTAGCAACCGTATCACGACGATCGTTTCCGTCGCTGTTTTATTAAATTTACCCTTCTGCCCCTCTTCTCAGCTACTTCCATTGGGAAAGTCATCTTTATCTACCCTTAGATTCGAACGAAGCCTCTCAAATGTCTCCCAACCTCAATTCCCTGCCGAGGTTAAAGCTTGAAATCGCTATGTGCCGGTGAAGCTTCCCAATCTCAAATCGTTGGCTGCCGTCGTAGCCCCCTAAGTTAAACAGTAGCTGTCTGTTGTTCTTGTTGCCAATCCCATATTGTTGCCCACCGTTGAAGCTTCACAACCTCAAACCGTTTTCCGCCATCGAAGCCTCCCAACGAACACTAGGTGAGTCGCCGAATGCCTTGGTTGTTCTTGTTCCTCGAAGCTTCCCAGTCTCAAACCGTAGTTGTCTGTTGAAGCCATTTATGGTTAGGAATTTGTGAGTATGTGGTCGGTTAGGTTATGATTTTTTTGACCTATTTGTTCATAGCATCCGAAATTAGTATGAGAATGTATTAGTGTTTGACATTGAAATGTTCGTTCAGAGGGTAATTTTTGTTGTATTTTTTATTTGGATTAATGTACGTAATACGTATGGAATGTATATAGGTGGTTGTTTTTATGCAGGAACTCCATTTTGGAGGAAATGTCTGTATTGTGCATCTAAATTGGGTTCTGAGATCTTCTTGCAAATCTTTTTTATGCTTTGGTGTTCTTCTACGGAAAAACCGTTGATACGATATGGGATATGTATTTATTGAGAAGATACGGGGATACAACTCGTATAAGTAGTTAATACGGAGTTTTTTTAAAGAGTATTGTTTCCGACAGATATAACCGTTGATACGGTATTCGTCTTTTGAGAAGACAACGACTGTCAATTCCGTCGATAATAGGAAAGGTTTATTCCGTCGGTATTCTGTCAGTGTTTTGAAAATCCGTAGAAAACATCCGTCGACAACTTTTCCAACCACCGTATAGCGACTGAAATTTTTCTGTAGCAATCTCGTCGCTGATTTTGTTGGCGACGGAAATATACAACTTTTCCGTTGCTATTTTTGTCGCAAATTCAATGTTTTTTTGTAGTGCACCAATACCAAATGAGCATACACGAATTACGAAATGAGCATCGGGCAATTCAAAAAAACTCATTTAAATCTCTACTATGCTCAACTTTTTATCTGTGTATACTCATTAGTAAAACTACGTGTATATTCCATAAGAAAAGAAGAAAAGGAGAAACATGAGCAGTGGCGGACCCAGAAAGTCGGAGTCACGGGGTCCCTATCTTTTTATATCTCTAATCTCTTATTAATATAAAACTAAGGTCGTTTAGAAAATGAAGTGACATAAATAATCATTCATTTAGAAAATTAATAACCGTTCATTTAGAAAAATAATATTTATGTCACAGATAGAAAAATAATATCCTATCATTATAGTATGCTTATTCCAATAATTTTCTAAACGAACGGTTATTTATGGCATCTTAAAATAATAAATAGGGAAAATAACTGCAAATAATATAAACTATCTTCGATGAACCAATTATAATACATACTTTAGAAGTAGCTTAGCTTTTAATAATATCAACTATTTAAGTGTAGAACAAAAATAAAATGGAATCACTTTTTAAAAAAAATCCACTAATTTAAGACATTAAAAACTAATATCGAACCAATAAATAATATTTGGAAATACGCTTACTAACTTTATATTTTGATACCAGTCTTTTATGAATCAAATGACTAATGTTTTAGTAAAAAATTGCTATGTATTAGTGTTAGTACTATTTATGCTGTTTTCCCTTGCCAAAAAAAGTTGTTTTTCCTAATAAATAGGGAAAAAACAAAAAGGATGCCTAAGGGAATCAACCCCTGCACCTCCATGACCGTGAAACTTTTAAATTCAAGTGCGCTTCCATTGTTCTAATGCTAACTTCATGTTTTCAATTAGCTTTCGCCTTACATATATATTATATTATTAATTTATATAAAATACATATAATATATATAGGTATTTTTTTGAAAGTTCATGGGCCTCGGGCCCATGAACAACAGTCAAATCTAGGGTTGAGATGCCCTTTCTTCCCCGTCGATCGCGAAATCCACCATAGACCTCCTTTGAGATCTCAAATCACAAATCCAAGAGGCGAGCTAAGTGATTCCCTGTGGCGAGGAAGCCATGAACCGCGCAAGCTGGGGACGACGACCATACAGTGCGAGCGAAGCCTCCGAGGGACGAAGAAGAGATCCAGATGGTGCGAGGGAAGCCTCCTAGGGACGACGACCTGTGCTGCGCAGAGAACAAAAGGTCCGGCTGTACCGTGCGCACGGTACAACCGGCTGTACGATGTATTTTACCAATTCCAACTTGCAACCGATTAAGGTGTCCTAATTGCAACCGGTAGAGAAGAGACGATTGTCAAGCAACGATAGATTTGAGGATAAATAAGCGTAAACAAAAACAGGAAGAGCAGAAGACAGACAGGATTAATGGAGGATTGACGTTGAATTTAACTGAGTTATTCCGTATTAAATAGAAATAATGACCCATATATTACCATGGGACTTTCAAATTCCAAAAATATGACCATATTCCCATTTTCCAAAAAAGTGATCGATTAAAAGTTAAAACTACCCTTCCGCTTTCCCTTCGGTGCTCAAACCTTCTCCCTGCTATGCCAATCAATTTCTTCTCCCCTAACCGATTGATCTTCTCCTTCGACTACCTTCCGCCTCCAGCCCTCCACCATGCTACGCTACCGCCTCTCTCCCTTGTCACCACCGTCTTCTCCCGTTGTCTTCGTCGCAATCACCCCCCACCGCCGCTGATTTCTTCGTCGTAGCCAACTCATGTCATCTCGTCCAGGTTTGCATTCTTCTTCTTCCCCTTACTCTGGCCGAGGCGACGGCTTGGCGGCAGAGGTTGGGGCTTGAGCGTGGGAAATGGTGCATGGGAAATGGTGCGCTGAGTCTAGGCTAGGCTAATTGGGGCTAGATTGAGGCTGGGGATAGGTGGATTGGGGGTTGGGCTGGTCGGACCAGGAGTTGGACATGGCTAGCGGCGCTGAAGAGTGGGTGGCAGCAGGGCTGGGCGGCGCTGGGGCAGAGGGGCTGGAGCGTTGGGGCAGATAGGCTGGGGAATGGGGATGAAGCTGGGAAGCTGTGGAGGGACGGGGAGCAGGGGAAGGGGATTAGGGTGCAGAGGAGGGGGCTGGGGGCAGGGAAAGGGGGTTGGGGTGCAAGGGAAGGGGACGGCGTGTTACTATGAAGGTGTCACTGTGGGTGATGGGCGGACCGTAACTTTGGCCGGAGTCACTTTAGCGGTGTCACTATAGCGATGTCACTGTGTCCGGCAGCGGTGATCGGTGGAGGCGGTGACCGACGATGGCGGTGGCGGCAGTGACATATATCTTATAGTGACATAACAGTCCAGTAGTGACAAAAAAAATGACAGTGACATCGTGTTTTCCAAATATGTGACCTTCTTAATCACATTTTTGTCTTTTTAAAAAATGGTCACATTTTTGGAAATCAGATTAAATTTAGTAATATTCAAGGAAAAAGCCCTATTAAATATTATAGGGGTATGTAGCAAATTTAAAAAGAATATGAGCCGATTCTAACAAGTTATCCGAGTTGTAAATCGAGTCCACGTGGCATAATTGTAGTGGACCGGTACCGTACCTTCGAATTTGTTAATGGTGTTGGAGCAGTCACCATTAAAAAAAGAAACATGAGATTAGCCTAGATCACATTTTTAATTATGAGTATAAAAGAGATCAGATACAAGAATAGAATTAAATAGATCGACCAAACCTTGATCAGTCAATTTAAACGTGATCTTATTTAAAGCCCAGTGACTAATTTGGAGTTTAGACCCAACCACACACTTAGACCAATGCAGTTTAAACCACGCCAACTCCAAAATCAAGTCCAAAGTATAAACGTCATCAATCATTTTTTAAACACGAACGAATTTTGGAAAATGCAGAATGGAATAATTAGTTGAAGTCCATGTCGGATCAATATTTTTAGTTGAATTCTGGCGACTCCTTTGGTTTGTCCGGTTTCCTCTCTCATAAGAACCACCAAATAGAAAAGGAAAGTTTGTGAAATCCACCAAATTAAATGAAATTCATGTGACGCTACAAAAGAAATCCACTTCTCGTCTCTAAGCTATCGACTGAGTGAACATATTTAGTATTTACACATCCGGAGAGGAATTACGCGATGCTACTACCGTTCTCTTTGACCGTCGTTAGACGATAATCGGGAAACCCATTTGGTCAATCCTTTCTTCTGGTTCTTATTTGAATTCTGCGACCTTTTCAAATGGGTCGCGTCCGCCGCTACAAACGAACTTATCCGCTGCATCGCCAAATTCAGTGTTTCCTCTGACATGTTAGCAAAACAAACTCTGAACCACCCCGGTTCGGTGCAATGGCAGGAAGACCCGGGCGAGATGTTTAACCCGACTTGGTAAACGATTTTCTTCCACAGTTCTATTTCCGCCTCGAACGTTTGTGATTTGAGGAGATGTCTCATGTCCACCCAGCAGAACAATCCCGCGCTGCTCTCCAGGCACTCGATGCCGGTTTCCCGGAGTCCGGCGACCAACATCGCGTGTCTCTGCTTCAGCCTTTTCTGGTTTTCTGTCAAGTACTCCTTCGTGAACTTCTTGTCAGAGAGCATGGCGGATAGAAGGTACTGCGTTTGAGAAGAGACCAAGCCGAAGCTCGACATTTTTGTAGCCGCCGACACGACCAACTCGTCGTTGGAGTAAATCGCCCCGACCCGAAAACCCGGAAGCCCCATATCCTTGGATAGACTGTAGACGATGTGGACCCGGCCCCACACACTGTCATGGGTGACAGTTTTGTTGTGAATTCTTTCCGTGAGAACCTCCATGGCGCTGACAAAGGCAGGGGAGTCAAAAGAGGTGCCGGAGTAGATCTCGTCGCTGATCAGATGGATTCCCTTCTCGTCGACGAAAGTGATGAGGAGGTCGAGCTCTTCTCGGGTCAACGTTGTTCCCAATGGGTTGGATGGGTTGGTGACTAAAACGCCCTTCACTTTCAAGTTCCTCTTTTGGGCGGAGAGGTAAGCTTCTTGCAGCGCAGACTCGGTGATCCTGAAATCGTTGGAGCTGAAACACTGAATTGGAACAATCTCTGCTCCGGTCCTCCATTTCAAGTCTCTGTCGAATCCTGGGTAGTATGGAGTGGGGAGTAGGAAAGCGTCGCCGGGGTTGGTGAGACAGAACATGAGCGTCTCGTTGGCGGGAGTTGAGCCGGCGGTGAGCACGAGATTGTCGGGATTGAATGAGACTTTGTTTCCTCGGATTTCTGACATGAACTCAACCATAGCGTTCTTGAAGGAAGGAAGGCCATGATAATCTTGAAAGAGCGCAAGCTGCCGGAAAATGGATTCGCCTGCATTGTCAGTACCCTTAAAGGCGGCGGCTTCCGGGTTCTGAACCAACCAGGATTCGAGAAGATCGAAGGAGAGCTGATTTTCGGCGAGGCCCATTTGGATGATGCCATTGGGATTGCGGGTCTCATGGTAAGGATTCTTTTCGTATTCTTGCCATCCGAGGAAGTAGGAGGAGTCTTGGCCATGCGAATTGCATGTGATTTTCTTGGACAAGAGATTCATATTTTGAGTGCGAAGGAAGGTTGATGCTAGATTGTGTAATGTTTGTTGGATGTTGGTATGTTGCCTTATCCCCCACTACACTAAGCTATTTATAGGGGAAGATAAATTAATGCTCCGTAGGGAGCAACATCAAGGAAAGAACAAAAATGTGCTCGCGTCATCCGTGATGTCATGAAGCCTTGGTGTAGCTTAGTGACACAATAAAGGGAAGCTACAGATAGATGATTAGTTTGGAAGATAGTGTAAAATAAATTGGGAAAAGAATTAGGAAAGTGTGCGGCAAAGAGTGAGTGGAGACCCATGTACGGGGCCACTGTCAGAAAGAGGTATGCTATACGCATGATTCCCACCTGCGCGATAGCCCCACGAGCACACATGTATAATGTTCTTTTTCTTTTTATATTGATGGATGGAACAGAGTCCGTTTAAATGAAACAGATATTTATATTTAAAATATCTTAATGTAGAAAATAAGTAAAAAAAGTAATGAAAACAGATGAATTAGTGATTCTCAGAAAATTCAGTAACTTAAACGTTACATTGATGACTATACGAAGTATAATTCATCATGCAAAATTAGAAATTTTTGCAATATTTGTCTATTTGATAAAAAAATTGTCTAATAATACTGAAAGAAAAAAATTGCTCCTCAAAGTTATGTGATCTCAAGTTTCAAGTACTATATTTATATGTCTTTACTTGGAAATATTTCAATCTTAGACAAAATAAGATCAGTTCAGATCAGACAGACTAGACTAGATCACACTCGATTTTGCACAGAAATTGTAAAAAAATACAGAAATCAGACATCTATCAGATCAGATATGTTCAGACCAGACCAAATTAGACAATATCACATAAAAGAAGACCAGATCAGATTATTTCAGTCCAAATAAAAATATTCTCAATCCTTACGCCGAAAAACCAAAATCAATCCAAAGTAGCAGAATGTGTGTGTGGTGAGGGAGCTAATTAAATTTGAAGACATTGCGATGTCATTTTTTTATTTATCTATTGCCTATATCACATTTCTTACTGTGTCAATAAATCTATATGGAGTGATAAGGAATCTAGATGGATCATGATTCAGGATTAGCGAATCAGGTGGTTTCTTTTGAGCTGACTGATTTGAAGTCTGGTCCAAGGACGTATGGTCGATCTATGATTTTGATCTTTATAGCTTGTCTGTTTTCTCCAGGCTGCAATAATGTCGGCTCAAGGCAAGGGTACCCAGCCCAACCGCACATGGCCCAAAATTTGGAGGAAAAAACTAGTAGTAGTATTCCAGACTAGAAGCTCTATCCAACTTGTAACCTCCTCTCTCACGCTCTATCCTCTCGATTTGGTAACTGGAGATCTTGAACGATGAAGCAAGTCACCCAGCTTACCGATGAAGCAGGACGAACGTCGATGACTCGCACGATTGATTGACGACTGTCGCCACCAAGCGCCAGCCCATCACTGGCCCACTGCGCCCCACATCAATGAGTCCAATCAGCCCACCGCTCCATCTTTACAACCACAACTTGCCAAATGCGCAGTAACTTAGGCCATCTCCAACAGTTAACACCATTTTTTACACTAAAATGGTGTAAACATCACATCAAACAGTATTTTATCTCCAATAGTTTACACCATTTTCATCACCAAAAAGGAATATTCTCTTTTTATTCTTTTTACTAACTTTTTACCATTATTCTATTTAAGTATCTAACTATCTTATATTTATACATTTGCTCCTCATTTAATATTTTGACATTTCACACATACAAATTAAAATACAAAGAATAATGGTGTTATTAATTGTAATTTTAATTATATTATTTTCTTAAGTACCATTTGTTTTCTATTATTATGTTGTTTGGATTTGAAACTTTATTTATAATATTGTGTGATTTAAATGTTATTATATTTTTATTATCAAATTAATTGTTTTGATTATTGTTGTTGTATAAGGATGTTTTTACTTGGACTGTAAATTCTTTCAGATCAGATCAGATCGGATTAGACCAAACTTGTGTAGTTATAAAAATACAAAGAAATCAGACTAGGCCACATCAATTCAGACCAGACCAGATCAAATCAGCTCGGACCAACAAATTTCATTCCAAATAAAACTTCCTAATTTGTTGTTTTAAGAATGGGTCAAAACTATAATAATCAAAACTTTGGGTCACATTTGAAAGAAAAAAAATACAAAAACAGGATGGTGCTACAAATGGCGTATGCCATATATAGCGTGAAAGGTTCCCCCTCCCCCATTTTGGTGTAATGGTGTCAAGTTTGGTGCCATTGTTGGAGCATTTTTTTGCCAAATACACCATTTTGGTGTTAAAGATGGTGCTTGTTGGAGATGACCTTAGTAAGCAACTCGGGATCAACACATCTATGAGGCCGTGTTTTTTCATATTTTTTGATTTGTTTGAGGGAAAGTTCCTGAAATAGGATTAAAATAGTTTGAAAATTTCAAAATAGGACTGTCATATTTTTTATTCCTAAAATAGGAGTAATTACTGCCATGTTTGAAGTCTAGTACTGCCAAAACATGGCAGTAATTAGTCCTCTTTTAGGAATAAAAACATGACAGTCTTATTTTGGAATTTTCAAACTTTTTTAGTCCTATTCCGGGTAATACTCTCTTTGTTTAATTGCTAATTAGGAATTACTTAAAACTGATTTGAAACATATTTACTGACTAATTGAAACTTAGGCTCAGTTATTTGTTTATTTTTTTGCAGTTATAGTAAATGATTAATGGCATTGATAATACATGTGGTTAACATTTAGGATTTAAAAAATTGGCATAAATATATTACGGAGTATTAGGTAAGTCGAGGTTCATGCGTCGGATTGATAATTTGATATATCAAAAGAGAATTTTCATTGCATGAAAATTTACGCTAGAGATTTACTAATTTACATATAATTACAATAGAAATCAACTTCTCTTCTTCTTGAACGACTGGGAGGACAATTGTATTGCAAACTAGTCCCATTTAGTAAAAAAAAAATCAACACTCATCAAGGGTTGAATAACAAATGAAGCATTGGTACGAGTTAAGCTATTGGATGGTTAAGTTATGTTAATTATTAGCCGCAGTGATACTACCGTTCTCTCTGACCGTCATTAGAAGATAACCGGGAAACCCATTTGGTCAATCCTTTCTTCTTATTCTTATTCGAATTCGTAGAGCTCATCAAACGGGTCGCGTCCACCGGTTTGTCCATTGCCGCTACAAACGAACTTATCCGTTGCATTGCCAGAGCCAGTGTTTGCTCTGACATGTTAGCAAAACAAACTCTGAACCAACTGGGTTCGGTGCAATGGCAGGAAGAACCGGGCGAGATGTTTAACCCGACTTGGTAGACGATTTTCTTCCACAATTCTATTTCCGCCTCGAACGTCTGTGATGTGAGGAGATGTCTCATGTCCACCCAGCAGAACAGTCCGGCGCTGCTCTCCAAGCACTCGATGCCGGTTTCCCGGAGTCCGGCGACGAGCATCGCGTGTCTCTGCTTCAGCCTTTTCTTGTTTTCACTCAAGTACTTCTTCGTGAACTTCTTGTCTGAGAGAACGGCGGATAGAAGGTGCTGTGTTTGAGAAGAAACCAAACCGAAGCTCGACATTTTGGTAGCCGCCGACACGACCATCTCGTCGTTGGAGTAAATTGCCCCGACCCGAAAACCCGGGAGCCCGAAATCCTTGGAAAGACTGTACACGATGTGGACGCGTCCCCACACACTGTCGTGGGTGACAGTTTTGTTGTGAATCCTTTCCGTGAGAACCTCCATGGCGCTGACGAACGCCGGGGAGTCAAAAGAGGTGCCGGAGTAGATCTCGTCGCTGATAAGATGGATTCCCTTCTCGTCCACGAAAGTGATGAGGAGGTCCAGCTCTTCTCGGGTCAACGTGGTTCCCAACGGGTTGGATGGGTTGGTGACTAAAACGCCTTTGACTTTCAAGTTCCTCTTTTGGGCGCAGAGGTAAGCTTCTTGCAGTGCAGACTCAGTGATCCTGAAATCGTTGGAGCTGAAACACTCAATTGGAACAATCTCTGCTCCGGTCCTCCATTTCAAGTCTCTGTCGAATCCTGGGTAGTATGGAGTGGGGAGTAGGAAAGCGTCGCCGGGGTTGGTAAGACAGAACATCAGCGTCTCGTTGGCGGGAGTTGAGCCGGCAGTGAGGACGAGGTTGTCGGAATCAAATGAGACCTTGTTTCCTCTGATTTCTGACATGAACTCAACCATAGCCTTCTTGAAGGAAGGAAGGCCATGATAATCTTGAAAGAGCGCAAGCTGCCGGAAAATGGATTCGCCTCCATTGTCACCCTTAAAGGCGGCGGCTTCCGGGTTCTGAACCAACCAGGATTCGAGAAGATCGAAGGAGAGCTGATTTTCAGCGAGACCCATTTGGATGATGCCTTTGGGATTGCGGGTCTCATGGTAAGGATTCTTTTCGTATTCTTGCCATCCGAGGAAGTAAGAGGAGTCTTGGCCATGAGAATTGCATGTGATTTTCTTGGACAAGAGATTCATTTTGAGTTAGTTAATTCGATTGATTGCTCCGGCTAGACTAGATTGTGTAATGTTTGGTGGATGAAGGTATGCTGCCTTATCCCTCACTACACTCGGCTATTTATATGCAGAGATAAATACATATTGCGCAAGAAAAAAAGCACAAATTATTCTCGCATGCATCATCCCTGACGTCATAAATATACATTTTTTTATTTATTTAATTATACGTTTATCAAAGAGAGAGAGCTCTCAAATCTTAGGGCCCTCGATTAGTCGGTCAGTCATTTCATCAGCCTTGATTGATTGCTTTGCGTACAAAAGATAACTTTTCGGAGAAACAATAAATGAAACATTGGAAAAGACAGTAGGAAAGTGTGCCGCAAAGAGAAAAGATGCAAAGGGAAAGCAAATGGAGGATTCTGTGAGACCCATCCATAGGGCCACATGTCAGAAAAGGGTATGCTACCCACCTGGGCGATAACCCCACAACCACATAGACATATACGGCGTATATATATACGGCACATTG